CCTTTCATGTCTATTTACACTATTTTCCCATTTACTAAGTGGGGAGGGGGCTCCTTATATAGTGCTTCATTGTTAGTAAGTTAATACCTGTTGCTTCTGGGATGTTTTTGTGCATTAAAAACTTCAAAATAAAAAAAAAAAAAACAGATAAAGCTAGTACTAGCTGTAGAGAACCATAGATCATCAGTTCTATATACAACATGGCCAATTGGTTTGGCTAAAAAGTATGTTTAGAACTGTTTTCTTGCTGAAAATACCTTGTCTTAAGCAGTAACAACACTTACCGTTTTCTGCTAAAATTGAATGTTTCAAATAAATCAAATTTTTGCCTTAAGTGCTAACCCATTTTGAAGGCTTCTCAAACACAGCAATACTAATTTCCCTGCCTTCTTAAGCAAATTATACAGAATATTGGATAGATTTCATTGATGATACAAGGTCATTTTTTAAAACCACAATTACTATTCATAGTTAGTCCTCAGAGCCTATGTGTCCCTACTCTAAATGTTACTAGATTCAAGTCTTTTACTTAAGTTTTTCTTCTTTGATACCAAGTTGTTCATTATTGCTTGTTATGGTATAAACCATGCTTGCTTTTACTAGTTTCCCTCCTCTCTTTTATCTGTTATTTTTAATCTCTTGGTGAAAGTTTATTGGAATTCTATTCAAAATAAAGCAGCCTCTTACTGGGGACTTGAAAAACTGTCCCATGAGTATAGCTTTGGTGATAGAATCTAAGAAAATCTATTTAGGTTTCTTCAGGCTTTATTTCAGATTGCAGACCATTTCAGACAGTGATACTGTTAATGTACTACAAACTTAATGGAAATAACAATCATGGCTCATGTTGACTATTAGCAATAGCTTTTGACCTGGTTTTTTTTGCTTTGACTCACAACTCCGCACAAATTATCCAGAGTGATCCTTAAAAATGTAAATCTTATTATGTTGCGTCTCTGCTTAAAATCTTCCTCTGGCCTCCTCAGACCAGGAATAAATCCAGGTATTTTCCCCTTGGCTTCCATGACCTCACCTCGCCTACCTCATTTCCTACCTTATTCTATGGTTCACTGGGATTGCCTGCTGTTCCTCAAATAAACTCTCATCTCAGAGATTGGAAGTCTGTCATTTCCTTATCCTAGCACCCTTCTCTGCTTGGCTTTCTCCCTATTTTCTTCAGATTTCTTTTTAAATTTCACCTCCTCAGAGATGGCTTCCACAAGCATACAATTCAATACAGCAACTCGTCACTCCCCAAATCTCAGCCTGTTTTACTTTCTTCAGAGTGCTACTAACATTTGAAATTAACTTACATATGTGTTTATTATTTATCACCCATCTAAGGATGTAAACTCCATGAGAGCAGGGGTTTTGTTTTATTCATGAATGCATTTCCTGAGTACAGAAAAGGAATGTCTCTAGGGGCTCAACAGATAATTTTTGAGAGACTACTTTAAGTTATTTAATTCGCATTAGAATTCTAAAAGTAGACATTATTGAATGGCCATTTCATAGGTGAACAAATTGGATCTTAAAGAAGTTAAATAAACTTGTTCCAAACCCAGTCACTAAATACTGAAAGCAAGGGAGCTGAGAGCAAAGGAGTAGGTCATGCCTTGTGTGAGCTCTGATTGATATCTAATTTAGATATGATCAGTGAAGTCACTTGGGTCCTTTAAATACACAAGTAGCAAACTTGATTTGAGAGCAAGTACATGAGAGAGAAAAGAAAAATGTTAAGTGTAAATGTTTTTCTTTTCCCAAGGAAGAACATGAGCAACTGATCGTTAGGTACTTGAGGCTAACATGGAAATATAACATGGAGCTAAATCCCACCAAGTTTTCCTGAACCTTGAACCTGGAGGCTGCTGGGGAGTAGAAACAGTTGCATCAGAGGTAGAAAAACTTTTCTGGCAGTGCCAGAGGCAGAGACCGAATGAAGTCGCTGGGGCTGTCACAGCAACTTGGCCAGAAGGTCTGGTATCTGCAGTGGGACAGAGCTACTCAAGAGATACTTTGGTGTGTAAGTCAGTCATAAATCTACACTACCTGGCATTAGTGTGTTGTCAAGTGCACTATATGCAAGAAAAACAAAAAAAGGAAACCATAAAGGAATAAATTGACAGTATTAGACATGGTATATACTAAGATATGCCACCCAGCTCCTCCTGCAAGGATGGACATGGTGCCCAGCTACAGAGTGTTGTCAGTAGACTGCCTCCAGCTGTTGGCTACTGCATGATCTGCTTCAGCTGCAGAGCTGTCATGCTTGAGATCACATCCTTCCCAGAACTGCCCACATCCAGTGACTGAAAAAGGCATAGGTCAAAAGGCCTATTTACTTTGGCCTAATCATGACATTGTGACAGATGACACTAGCTCAGAGGCCCCTCTGGGTTGGCCAACTTTTCTAGGTCTGCATTAGAATACTCTCATTTCTTCTGCCTATTCCTGCTTCTTTGCTCTTACCCTTCACAGGCATGGATCTCTGAGAGTTATACATATAAATCTCTTGTATTTCAAACCCCTTTCAAGGTCCCCTTCTGCAGAACTCTATCTGTGACATTAGGTTTATTCATTCAGCTAATAAAATGTTTCTATTGCTACATTAGAACTAAAAGGCTCTGGCTATCTAGTGACCGAAAAAGTCATAGTTACTGAACTCATGGGGGTTATCACCTAGTAGAGGTGACAGATGTTAAGTAACAATGAAAAATACTAAAAACCTATATTTTACTAAGTGTCATTATGGTCTGTGGGAAAAAATAATACCCTCTAATATTGACAAATCTATCAGCTAGCATATATGTGAAGTACTGTTTTCATGTTAAGATTTTGACAATATGGATAACTACTTAGAAGTTACTCTTCTATCAAAATAACAATAAAATTGTTGATATAAGAAAATTTTGTTGACTTTATTTAATCCTTTCAAATCTGCAATCTTACACAATCATCCAGTTACTCATGAATGTCCTATCAAACTAGATCGCTAGTAAAACGAGACTGCATGTGGACTTTTGAAATAAGGCAAATGTAGAGGCTTAACTAATAGAGATCTATCTGCCAGCATCCACCTTTCTAAGAGCACCTCAGTTGCCTGTGGTGAACGGCCTCCTCCAGGACTCCTTTAGATTTATGCGGTATATGTGAGGAGTGTCACCTACATTTAAGTAACAAGGAGCAGTATTTTCCATCCCCTGGCTACAGTGGCTGGTTCAGGAATGTACACATAATCCAAGGCAGACCAGTAACAGTGAGTTCCTAGACTTCTGTTGGAACTATAAGGCAAGAGTATCTCATGCCAGCGGGATCAGAAAGCTAGCAGAATATAAGCCTTGAGCTTCTAGCGGCCATCATTCTGTGTGAGAATGAAACTGATTCAGAGCAATACTGACAACAGCAGAGGAAAGCACTACTATTATATCCTACTTACTATGTGTCAGGCATTGTTTTAAGAGCTTTATATACACTAAACATGTAATCCTTACAATGTACAGATGTGAATAGATGTGGAATATTGCCCTAGGTTACACACAAGTGAATGACACAAGTGGGATTTGAATTCTAGTGGAATCCATGTCCCTCATGCCACGTATACGCCTCATTATAAAAATGAGAGCCAAAGGAAAAAGCCTGTATCAAAGAGAACCATCTGAGCACCTACCTCCACACTGGGCCTGCAGTGTGCAGCTGGACTTGTCACCTAATTAAGTCAATACATGACTTTTCTTTTTGCAAAATCAGTCTGAATTGGGTTTATATTGTGGCAATTGAAAGAGTCCCAGGAGGGTAAGGCTGCAGTTAACGATGATCACCACTGCACTCCAACCTGGGAGAATGGGTGAGGCCCTTTCTCAAAAAAAAAAAAAAAAGATGTTTGTATATATTTTTATTTTACTTTTTAAAAAAGAACTCAAACTCCTGGGCTCGGCCTCACTAAGTAGTGCTGGGATTACAGGCATGAGCCATTGAGCTCGGCCCTAAAATATTTTTGAAGAATATTTACGCATATGATAATATGCTATTTTTCAAAAATAACAAAACTACATATTCATTATAACAATTTTGTAAATAAGAAATGTACGTGGAACAAAGCCACAAATACAGCAAAATATAGTGATGATCTCTCTCAAAACATTGTGGGAAACTTGATTTTTTATTTTCTCCTCAATTGTTGATGTTTTCTACAGTAATGTTTTAAAATTACAGGAGGCAAAAAAATGTCAAACTCTTAATATGTAAAATACTCTTAACTCACACTACAAAACCACTTGGGTATCTTATACCAAAGTGAACCTAAATTAAACTTACAGTGATTCAATCACAGAACGTAAACTCCATGAAGGTAACTTCCTTTTTGCTGTTTAATTTACTGCTGTACCTCCAATGGCTACATCAGCATCTGGCACCTGAGTGCTTTTTCAATGAAAGGTGAAGAGAAAAATGAACTGGCAGTGTATTTCCACCATACTAGTAAGACGTTTATTACCTAAGAACTGTTTTTTTTTTAGACATTCTAGTGTTTAAAACATGACATAATTCAATGGTCAAGCTAATAAATCTATACCATTTTAAGAGTCTGCATTCAGTTTTAAGTGAAAAAATGGAGAAAAGGAGTGAAGGATACAGAATTATCTTGATATGTACTGCTATATTATTATCATTCTAAAGACCTCTTTTGTTTCATAAATCTACTGAGAATGAAAGCTGTGAATTGAAGGCTAGAGAAAGAGAACTGTAAATAGGGCTGTTCATACTAGTTGCCCCCAGTAGTTCCCAGGACTCACTTCTAAGCTGCCTTAAGTAATTTTTACTTTCTGAATACAGGAAGCCAACTGTGGAGGAGTCAGACAGTTTAGGACTGACTCCTTAAAAACTGGCTTCAGAGAAAAGCATAATTACAACTGAGGCATCAGGTCTTAAGGTTTAAAACAACAGTCTTATGGTTGTCACATTATCATTATTATGTCATCTCTGAAAATAAATGCACATGCATCCCAGAGTCTCCAAAATCTTTATTTTTAGAGTCCAATCTCTTTTTAAGAAGTAGTAAAATGAAGGAGCATTGTTAGTAGTCACCTAACAAAAGCTGTCCATTATTCTTGACATTAGAAATTGAATGCAATGATTTAAGAAACATAATACATTAATATTTACATAATATATTTAGAATCACATGGTTTTCAGTGATTAGAATTTAGTCATGCCTGGAAAGAAGCAGAAGACAGTGGCTATGCAGCACATTCCTTATAAAGGATACATAAATGGTATACTTAGGATGACTAATATTAAGACTTTAAACAGTGCTTGTTTTTTCCCTCAGAGGAAGCAATTTTAGTTTCTAAAGAGCATTTACTTCTGACATCTCAATTCCTGATTTCAGTGGCTGCAGACTGTGTACTTCTGTGCCACACTTAGGACAAGTAAAGTACATGTCAAATAAGAAACTACTCTTAGCACAGAAATAACAGAAGATATGCTCACATCCTATGGTGTGAGGCAAGGTGGGCCACTCCCCACACAGAGAACATTCTTTGCCACTGGTGGCTAATACATTGTCACTATTAGGTGCACCAGTAAGAGGGATACACCATGAAGATAACTTGGCTTTCAACTTCTGGACATTGATAAGTGGTAAGAGAAAAATCAGAAATTCAGCAAAACCATGCCAGAGAAGTTCCCTATTCATGTATTCAAAGCCAACTTCACGTATGTTTTGAGGCATGCAAAACACAGAATGAATGCCTAGGAGACGTTCTGTCAAAGTTGCAAACTTTCCCCTCTGAAGGAAAATCAAAAAATTAATCAGCCCACCTAATTTCAAAAGTCCAACCACAAAATTCACACACTGCTTGACTTTCCCAAATGATGCTAAATGATGGTTTCGAAGCAAATCGTAGCATCGTTCTTCTAACCACCTCCCACCAATTGTACAAACAGCATACCAAATTTTTTGATTTTTACTAGGTGGCTGATATCGCAGGTTAGGGGAAAAATCATTTTTGTATTGAATATTCAAAACTGACTGTCCCACTGTGGCATTTTTGGAGTAGATGGTGAATCTCCACAAGAAAAGCCATAAGCATGCTTTCACCTCTGGTTCAAAGCGAGCTAATAGCCCAGGTTTAAATCCATGAAAGCACTGAGTAAACTGGGACCACACTAGCTGCTCCAGGGCCTTGTTTAGTTCAAGCGCATCCAACTGGCTTATTCTTAGCACTCTGTTTGTACTCTTCACATTCTCTTTTTTGGAAGTCATGTCTTCTCTGAAGGTCTCTAGGAAAAAATACAATCCAAGAACATTAGCAAAGAGTTAAAATCTTGTACGATCTCCATAAATTATGCCTGGAAACTGTAATACACAAATTACATAGGACACATAGGAGATGAGCCTTTCAGTAGTCTAAAATAGTACAGGGAATCATCACTTCTTACCTGAAACTTCTTTCCGTCTTGTCTCTCAGAGCCTTTCTTTTCTCCCCCTGCCTTTTTTTCTTCTTAATTTATTTTTCTTTTTTCTTGGCCCTCTTCATCAAAGAAATGATAATAAAACAACAGAACAAAACAAAACCTGTACTCTATTTCCACAAATATACTTCTAAGCAATACTCCTTGGTCAGATATTCTAGCAGGGAGATATTCAAATCCTGAAGCTAACAGAAAGGAGGCTGAATAATATGACTAATGAAGAGATATAGGAATGTAGTAAGTACAGCTACATAGAACATTGCAAATAGATGGTTAAGTCAAGACCTCAGTTTATTTTCCAGCACTTTTACTGATTTCAAAGGTATTATTTTTAAGTAAGCCATTTAATCTTTCTCAAATAAATTTTATATGTGTAAAGGAAGTTAGAAAAATAATGAATGATACGTGTTTATTATTCTAACACACTACTACAGAAAATAAATAGTACTAAATCTTAGCACGAAGCAAGAAGAATGCAGAAAAATCATTATTCAGGTACTAAAAATGTATACATCATGCATTTTTATGTGATATAAAATATATACCACAATAATTTCATAAATACATTAAGGAAACAAATTGGTGCTAAAGGGAAAAAATTTAACTGAAATACAAAAAGCTGATTAATGGTTACCTAGGTACAGCTTACTGCTTCAATACACACATATTATTATAAATACCTATTATGTGCAAGCTGATGTAATTTAAACACCCAGTTACTGCTATAGTCCAGGATACAGATCAGTTTGGATATTTTAAATATTATTAACTAACTGGAAAATCCACCCATGATCAAAGGAAAAAAAAAAAATCAGACTTAAATTTACTCACTTCTATGAGTTTAACTCTTTTAGATTCTACATATAAGTGAGATCATACTTATAAGTGAGATCACACTTATATGCAGAATCTAAAAAAGTTAAACTCACAAAGACAGAGAGCAAAATGGTGGTTGGTAGGGAGTGGAGGGGTGAGGGAAATGGGCGATGTTAGCCAAAGGATACAAATTTTCAGTTATAAGATGACTATGTTCTGGGGAACTCATGTCTACAATAGTGTAGTTAATAATGCTCTATTATTTCTTTGAAATTTGCCAATAGAAAATCTGAAGTGTCCTCATCACACACATACACACAGATGGTAAATAACTATGGCTGGTGATTGATTTGGTAATAAACTTGATTGTAGCAGTCACTTCACAATATATACAGATACGAAATCATTACATTGCACACTTTGAATATATACCATTATTTGTCAATTATACTTTAATAAAGCTGGGGGAAAAGAAACACAAAAAAATTAAAATGGGTTAGCACCACTCTGGGCTTGTTTATCATGTTTAGGCCTTTAAAAGGTCAATATGCTAACAGAAAGAACAGTTACAGAGGGAGACTGGATCCTGCCAGAGCTCACTGCCATGGTCTGGTCATGTATTCTTTGATAAGTCATTTCCTCTGACCTTGACCTATGCCTTGGTTTTTTCACTTATAAAACAAATGGCTAGAGACAAAATGACCTTCAAATTCCTTTCAAATCTATTCTATTATGATTTTTATTAAAAAGATGATACATGCAAATTATTAGAAGGTAAAAATAAACTTATATTTCTTGAAATTGGGAGTATCTTTGACAAGAGAAAATGTTTTCAAGAGCGAAGTTCTAAATTTACCCACGCATCCTAGAAGACTTAGTGGCAGAAGACTACATGTTTAACAAGTTTAAGTCCAGGAAACAAAAATGACCACTGATTAGGCTGTTTGGTTCTATTTTTCTCTCAACCCAGATATGTAACAGGAATGTTTCTCACCATAAATGCCAACCATCTTCTGGAGAGATCTCACCTTTTTCCCGTTCCTGCAACTCCCTCAAGACTGGACAGCCTATAGCTATGGCAATCGGAATTTCTGCTGCAAGTTCTTCTGTGAAATCCTTGCCTCATACTTGCCAGAAGCTACACACAAAAAAGAATAAAGTTAGAAAGAGAGTTCCCTTTCCTCATTTGCAAATCAAATCCATTACCAAGGACTGTTGATACTTGCTCTAAAATTTTTCCTAACCCATCTGTCACTCCCTATTCCCTGCAAGCCTTTTCCTGAATACTGGCTGCTCTCTTCTCTTGTGGATTTCATCAAATTGGTCTGTCTTACCTTCTGCCTCCTTCAGTGCCTTCCCCACACTGCCGCTGTTCTAAAACACAAATCTCCCCAAACCCACTCCCAGCCTGCTTTCCTTCCTTACGCATCATATTCAGTCAAAAAGTACCCCCTTCTCTTGTTTACCATTAGACGTCACTGACTGTTCCCTTTGTGTGGAAGTCTGTTTCCATTCTTTAGCTGAAAACTCATATTAAGTTTTTAAGTACTGGCTCAGACATAACTTCCTTCTGACTCTCCAAATTTGGTTTGCTGCCCATCTAGTTGTTCCCTTGGCACTCTATTCTTTCTCTTTCTTGGCCTCTATGTACTGTACATAAACTACTTTAAAATTGTTTATTTCCTCCACTAGAGAATAAGTACTGTTGTAAAGTTTATTTGAGCCTCATCACGGTTGAATCATAACAACTATCCCAGTTCCTGGTACACAAAAGGCACTCTCTAAGCACTAGATAAATGGATAAATGAAAAGGATCAAAGTCTGCGATGTGTGAAGGATAGAAAATATAAATTCCCATCCATTACTCTTTAAAACTATGTCAAATTACCACATCCAGAATAGTGATTATTAATAACTTCACTAATTTCAACATGTTTATTGTGCATCTGTTATATATCTATTAATGAGAATTAGTGATATAATGATACAACAGACACTGTCTCAACCCTTGTGGAGCCTATAGTCTACTGCGAATGAGAGAGAAAAGTGAGGGTGTGCTATGTAAAATGAACAGGTGATTACAATAAGGTGCGATCAGTGATATGCAAGGGAAAATTAGGGCACTATCTTTAAAACTATACATGAGAAGGTCAGAGAAGGCTTCCTGTGAGAGGCAATACCTAAGCAGCCACCTGAAGGATTAGCACATCAGCCTGGTAAAGGAGGTAAGAATGTTATTGCCAATGGTGGGAAGGGTAGGTACCAGACTAGATTTGTACAGATAAGGCTGGAAGGAAAGCAGAACACAGGTCCTAAAAGCCCTAGAAGCCAAACTGAGGAGGCTTTATTTTATGAAGGGTGATATGCAAACAAGTAGTAAGATTTACATTTTCTGGCCACCCAAAGCAAGAATAGATTAGAGGCTGAGAAAAAGACTGGAAGCATAGAGACTAGTTAACAGGTTGTTAGAATGATCTAGTGAGAAACTAATAATGGCCTAAATTAGAAGACTATCAAAGGTATCTTTGAAAGCAATAAGGTGGTAGAACTGACACTATCTAGAGAGAAATAAGCCAAGAAAACTGACTTAAGTAACTGAGTAATAGTGATCCAAGTCCCTGAAACAAGAAATACACGAGGCAATACAGGTTTGAACAGAAAGATAATAAATACATGCAATTTTAAAGATCTGGGGCTTCTATGAGAAATGTAAATGGAAAAGTTTATATGAGTAAATATGAGAGAGAAAATATGGGTAGAATTTTAGAAGTCTGATGCCCCTCTAATAAAACTAATCTATTTCAAATCTACTTGATCTAAGTAAGTGCTAAAATCAAGAAGGCAGTAATTTAAAACAAGATAGATCTTGTCTATTTGTAACACATTGAACTTTCTTTGTAACAATATAATCTTATTCTCAGAGTTTTTAACTGCTAACAGATATATATCTATGATGAAGATACATATATCTCTGGGCTTTTAATCCTTCTAAACTGGTCTTCAACATCACAGTTCTGTGGTCTCTGCTCCTCTAGTCTAAGGGTTTTCAAACTCGGGAGTTCATCAGCATCACATAAGAACACATACCTCAGACACTGCAGGTTAGGTTACAGACCTCTGCGACAAAGCAAATATCACAATAAAGTAAGTTACACAACTTTTTGATTTTCCAATGCATATAAAACTTATATCTACACTATACTGCAGTCTATTAAGTGTGCCACAGCATTGTGCCTTAAAAACAATGTACGTATCTTGACTTTGGTTTTTTTTTTTTTTTTTTTTGAGACAGAGTCTCATTCTGTTGCCTGGTGCCAGGCTGGAGTGCAGTGGCCTGATCTCGGCTCACTACAACCTCCACCTCCCAGGTTCAAGCAATTCTCTTGCCTCAGCCTCCTGAGTAGCTGGGACTACAGGCGCATGCCACCACACCCAGCTAATTTTTGTATTTTTAGTAGAGATGGGGTTTCACCATGTTGGCCAGGATGGTCTTGATCTCCTGACCTCGTGATCCTCCTGCCTCGGCCTCCCAAACTGCTGAGACTATAGGCACGAGCCACTGCGCTCGGCCAACAATGTACACATCTTAATTAAAAATCACTTAATCGTCAAAAAAGGCTAACCATCAGAGCCTTCAGTGAGTTAAAATCTTTTTGATAGTGGAGGGTCTTACCTTGATGTTGATGCCTGCTGACTGATCAGGGTGATGACTGCTGAAGACTGGGGTCATATCTGTGGCAATATCTTAAGACAACAACAAAGTTTGCCATAAGGATTGACTCCTCATTTCATGAAAGATTTCTCTGTAGCATGTGAAGCTTTCTCATAGCTTTTACCCATGGTAAAACTTCTTTTAAAATGGATTCAACAGTCTCAAACCCTGCCATTGCTTTATCAATTAAGTTTATGGGGTATTCTAAATCCTTTGCTGTCTTTTCAACAATGTTTACAGCATTTCCTCAGGTATAGACTCCAACTCAAGAAACTAATTTCTTTGCTTATCCATAAGAAGCAACTCACTGGATGCAGTGGCTCATGCCTATAATTTCAGCCCTTTGGGAGGCCAACGGAGAAATGCCGGGCAACATAGGGAGACACTGTCTTTATAAAAAATAAAAATAGCCAGGCATGCTGGCATGCACCTGTAGTCCTAGCTACTAAGAGGAGGCTGAGGCAGGAGGGTTGCTTGAGCCCAGGAGATTGAGAGGCTGCAGTGAGCTGACTGTGCTATTGTACACCAGCCTGAGTGACGGAGCAAGACCGTCATCTCAAAAAACAAGGTGGGGGAAAGCAACTCTTTATCCATTCAAGTTCTATTATGAGATTGTAGCAAATCAGTCACATCTTCGGGCTCCACTCTAATTCTAGTTATCTTTCTATTTCTACCACTTCTGCAGTTATTTCCTCCACTGAAGTCTTGAACCCCTCAAAGTCATCCACAAAGGTTAGAATCAACTTCTTACAAGCTACTGCTCATGTTGATATGTTGACCCTTTCTCATGAATCATGTTCTTAATGGTACACAGAAAGGTGAATTCTTTCCAGAAGGTTTTCAATTTACTTTGCCCAGATCCATTAGAGAAACTGCTATTGGCAGCTATAGCCTTATGAAATGTAGTTCTTAAAAAATAAGATAAAAAAGTCAAAATTACTCCTTGATCCATAGGCTGTAGAATGGATGCTGTGATATCATGTATGAGAACATTAATTTCCTTGTACATCTTCATCTTCATCAGAGCTCCTGAGTGACTAAGGTGCATATAAATGAGCAGTAGCATTTTGAAATATTTTTTTTAGCAGGTCTCAACTGTGTGCTTATTCAGTAAACCATGCTGTAAACAGATGTGCTGTCATCTCGGCTTTGTTTGTTTGCTTTTTTTTTTTTTTTTTTTTTTTTTTCATTTATAAAGCACAGGCAGAGTAGGTATAGTGTACTACTTAAGGGTTTTCAAATTTTTAGAATGGAAATAAACATTGGCTTCAACTTAAAGTCACTAGCTACATCAGCCCCCAACAGGAAAGTCAGCCTGTCTTTTGTAGCCACATATTGGCTTCTATCTTGCTATCAAAGTGAAACATGGTATTTTCTTCCAATAGAAGGCTTTTGTGTACCTGGAAAATATATTGTCTAGTGTAGCCACCTTCATCAATTATTTAGCTAGCGCTTCTGGATAACTTGCTGCAGCTCCTATATCAGCATTTGATGCTTTATCTTGCATGTTTATAAAAGTTGGTTATTTCCTTAAATCTTAGGAACCAACCTCTGCTAGCTTCCACCTTTTCCTCTGCAGCTTCCTCACCTCTCCGTCATAAAGAACTGAAGAGAGTTAGGAACTTGCTCTGGATTAGGCTTTGGCTTAAGGAAATTTTGTGGCTGGTTTGATTGTCTACCCAGACCACTATAACTTTTTCCATATCAGCAATAAGGCTGTTCACTTTCTTTAATTCATGTGTTCCCTGGAGTAGCACTTTTAATTTCCTTCAAGAACTTTTCCTTTGCATTCACAACTTGGCTGTTTGGTACAAAAGGTCTAGCTTTTGGCCTATCTTGGCTTCTGACATGGCTTCCTCACTAAGCTTTATCATTTCTAGATTTTGACTTAAAGTCAGAGATGTACAACCCTTCCTTTCACTTGAACACTTAGAGGCCACTGTAGGATTATTTTAATTGGTCTAATTTTAACATTGTGTCTCAGGGAATAGGTAAGTCAAGAGAACAGGCAGAACACAGAATATTTACTAAATTCACCATCTTATACGGATACAATTATTGGTGCTCCAGAATATTTATTAAGTTTGCCATCTTATATGGATATGGTTTGTGGTCCTCAGAACAATTACAATAGTAATATCAAAGATCACTGGTCACAGGTCACCATTAAGAATGATAAAAAAAACTCTGAAATATTGCAAGAATTAGAATTGCCTAAATGTTAGACACAAAGTTGAGTACACGCTGTTGAAAAAAATTTGTGCAGATAGACTTGACTCAGGTTTGCTACAAACCTTTAATTTGTAAAAGCAATATCTTCAAACCAGAAGAAAGCACAGTAAAATATAAGGAGGTGTGAACTAGGCTATACCAAGTAGGTTTGTGTAAGTATACTCTATGATGTTTGCACAATGATGAAATCATGAAACTATGCATTTCGCAGAATGTACCCCCTTGATAAGCAATGCATAACTGCATCTCTTCCTCAGGTTCCTTAGTGATATTTGGTGAGAAAATGGTCAAAGGGAATGGTTTCTCAGAAGAATCATCTATTTCAAATCTCTTGTTTTTGGAGGAATCACACTTAAAAATATTCGGTAAAAACAGTAATTTTTAATGACTGCCAGAAAAGGAGACCTAAAATAGTCTTAAACCAATACAATATTTAACAATACTTATTATCAAAAAATTCTTTCTTATCCCTTCTGTTATAGTTTAACATTTCTTCCTTCCTTCTTTTTCTCCCCAGGCCTGGCCTCACTGTAGATTAGGAACAGCTGGGCTTGCTCCTCCGTACGTAAGGCTCTTTAACAGACCAAAAGACTATTACTAAACTGTTCTTCAGCCTTTGCTCCTCCAGATGAGTAATTTCTCTACTTTTTGTTTTAGGTTTTATTTTCCAACATTTTAGTCATTTTTCTGACTTCTTTTAGTTGTAAACATAGAACAGACACTGTCTATTACACATCATAGTTCATTAAAGTGGAATACTTCGCCCATGCTCTACATTCTTCTTTAGGCATCTGCGATAGAGTGGAAAAAGCAGATTTAAAATCAAACAGGCCTGAGCTCAAGTTCTAGTTCTGTTACTTGCTATGTGATCTTAAAAAAATTCATTAGCCTCGGATTCTTCTCCTAAAAGTAGGAAATAACAGCTACCTCACAAAGTTGTTGAGATTAAACCAGATAATGTTATGAAACTGGTTTGGAAGCCACAAAGCTGTATTATTTATTGCATTATTGTTGCTTTGGCTAGGGATGGCCATGAAAAATAAAAGGCCCCAAACTAATTTTGGCAAATCTCATTTCAAAAGACTGAAACCTTCACTATTACTCATAGTAATGCCTCAATCAACCTGTATCAATTTTTTTTTTCCATGAAATACTGACAAGATCAACAGAAATTGTGGCAGTTAAACCACAAACATGATGTCAACCTTATGCGTACACATGGAAGGGGCCAGGCCGGAGTTACCGCTTAACTTGCACCTTGTCTGAAAGGATGAAAGGATAAGACACAGTAGGGATTGAAAAAAGAGAGGGGTTCTCACATGACCTGCTCCCGTGATTATTTAGTCCCTATCAACATAGTTGTGCCTGTTATCTTGACGTAAAGAAACCTTTTGAGTGCACACTTTTAAAATTTGACCCTAGGGTGCTTTGCTGCACAGAACACGGTACAGGCAGTCAAAGACAAGCACCCAAACTTGTGTTCATCACCAGCATATTACATTCAGTTCTTCCTCATCTGCACTCCCACTCCACCCCTCCCTTTCTGGCAGGTACAGCCACGCTAGAATACTGTCTTTGGAGACGGGCAGCCAAGGAGTAGAAGAAAATGATGAAATCAAAATCATCAGAAGTTCAATTAGCCCAATTATGGAATCTTCTTCCCTCTACACAGCAGTACAGTAAGATTTGTTATAATAGGTATGAAGCACAAATGCCATAAATGACTTTAAATCACATAAAATTATTCCCAATATAGTGTAAGCAGTTTGTGTTTTAGCTAATTCTAATTCTCTGACAAATGGTTACTCAATGTAACCAATATAGACTGGACACATACCAAATACAAGGTATTCTCCTAGGTACCAGAGATTCAATCTAAATATTTAACTGTCAGCTTCCTTTTATTCAAGTATTTTTTAAAAAATAGGATGTTACTGTAATCAGGACTGGCCATTGATCTCTGAAGAGGAGAATGAATCCTAAAAGATAAAAAAATTATAAAGGATCACAAAACCTCCCAGGTAGAAGAGAGGAAAATGGTATGTGAGGCAAGGGAACAGGCTGTGTAAAAGCCTAGAAATGTGCAAGCTCCTGGCCACAGCCTAGTTGGGACATACAGAGATGGGTTGCAGTATGAGCTGCATCCTTGGTTATTTAACCCACGTCAAAGTGGCAGCATCCGTTATCTGGAAGCAAACAGACAAGTCATCTGCTATAACCAGAGCAGGACGGCAGGAGAAACTGGTTGAAGTGTCAACCTAGCCACACTGGACAAAGAACCTGTGTAAGGAAATTGTATTGATTCTGTAGGCATGAATAATCATTGAAGAGAAGAAACATAATGGGATATAAATTTCAGAAGATTAATCTGATGGCAGAGTTCAATAAAACTGAAGAAAAGAAAAACTGCCATTCTGGGAGACCAGATTTATAGGATTCCTGCAACAATTCAGGGGCCTATGATGCTAACAACTTACTGGAAAAGTCAAAGTAATTTAACTTACTTAAGAACCATGGAAATCAAGAGTAAGATTATAGTATCCTTTCACATTTTGGGGTCAAAAATTCCCAGTGCTTTCAGTAAACTAGTACTTGCCTGACTTCTGTTACATGGATTGCCAATACCCATGCCCAACCACTGGCAAGTCTATTTTGACTTTACTTTCAAGAATTTTAGTAAGCTTTAACAATTTCTATATAATTGGTTATTGTTATTGTAGAACAGTATTTAGTTTTATAAATGTTAGCTCAAACTTGAATATTTTTAAAAAATTACAAGCTAAGTCCTTTTATTAAAAAG